GGGAGGTCCCGGGCGGATCCCGGGGGGTCCCGGTGGCTCTGGGGGTCCCGGTGGTTCGGGGGGGGTCCCGGGTGGATCCCGGGGGGTCCCGGTGGCTCTGGGGGTCCCGGGTGGATCCCGGGGGTCCCGGTGATTCGGGGGGGGTCCCGGTGGCTCTGGGGGTCCCGGTGGCTCTGGGGGTCCCGGGTGGATCCCGGGGGGTCCCGGGTGGATCCGGGGGGTCCCGGTGGCTCTGGGGGTCCCCGCACCCACCCTGCTGCCGGGAGCACTTGCGGTCGGTGACGCCGGTGAGCGGCCCGCGGCCCAGCAGCACGGGCTGCCCGTCGGGCAGGGCCACGGGCCCGGCCAGGCCCCGCAGCTCGGCCCGCATGGCACCGACGGCACCGGCACCGCCACCGGCACCGGAGCGACCCCGGCCCGGGACCGCCGCCACTTCCGGCCTGCGCGACGTCACTTCCGCCCTCCGCCCCGCCCCCTTGTTCATTCCCGCCCTTTTTGTCCTTGCAAAACCACGCCTCCTTTAGGATTCAGCCACGCCCACTCTCCATAGGTCACGCCCCTTGCAAACCACGCCTCTTTTGGCGCCTGCAAGGCGACTTCCGGTCTTGCTACGCCGCCGCTTCCGGTGAGTTGAGCGCCCCGCGGCGCTCCCTGGCGGTGGAGGACGGGGTGGGTCCTCCAAGGGTGGGTGGGAGAACTGGAGGGCACTGGGAGGGACTGGGAGAGACTGGGAGGGACTGGGAGGGGTCTGGGGGGCACTGGGAGGGACTGGGAGAGGCTGGGAGCGACTGGGAGGAACTAGGAGGGACTGGGAGGGACTGGGAGCGAATGAGAGGGACTGGGAGCGAATGGGAGGCATTGGGAGGGACTGGGAGGGACTGGGAGGCACTGGTACAGGCTGGAGACCTTGTACTGGGCACACTGGGAGGGACTGGGAGCGACGGGGGCAGCAGGCGGCCGCGGTGTCCCCGTGGGGGCTCTTGTGCCCCCCCCGGTTTGGTTTTGTTCACCCCAGTCCATCCCAGTGCAGCCCAGTTCGTACTGGTGCACTCCCAGTCCATCCCAGTGCAGCCCAGTTCGTACTGGTGCACTCCCAGTCCATCCCAGTGCATCCCAGTTCATTCCAGTCCATCCAGGTTCACTCCCAGTGCATCCCAGTTCCTTCCAGTGCACTCCAATCCTTCCAAGTGCACTCCCAGTCCATCTAGGTGCACTCTCAATCCATCCCAGTCCATCCCAGTGCATCCCAGTGCACTCCACTCCATTGTGGTGCACTCTCAATCCATCCCAGTCCATCCCAGTGCACTCCCAGTTCATTCCAGTGCATCCCAGTCCATCCAGGTGCACTCTCAATCCATCCCAGTCCATCCCAGTGCACTCCCAGTTCATTCCAGTGCATCCCAGTCCATTGTGGTGCACTCCCAGTGCATCCCAGTCCATCCCAGTTCATTCCAGTGCACTCCACTCCATTGTGGTGCAGCCTTGGGGCTCTCGGGGGCGTCCCCGGGGGTCTCGGGGTGGTGGGGGCAGGGCGCGGCGGGCACCGCCTGCCCGCCCTCCTCGCCGCGCAGCTCGCGCCGGTAGAAGTAGGAGAAGTTGGAGACGATGACGGGCACGGGCAGCGAGATGGTGAGCACGCCGGCGATGGCGCACAGCGAGCCCACCAGCTTGCCCCCCACCGTCACCGGCGCCATGTCCCCGTAGCCCACCGTGGTCATGGTGACCACCGCCCACCAGAAGGCCTGCGGGATGGACGTGAAGGCCGTGGCGGCGTCCTCGGCCTCGGCGAAGTAGACGGCGCTGGAGAAGAGCACGACGCCGATGAGGAGGAAGAAGATGAGCAGGCCCAGCTCCCGCATGCTGGCCTTGAGGGTCTGGCCCAGGATCTGCAGGCCGGTGGAGTGGCGCGACAGCTTGAAGACGCGGAAGACGCGCACCAGGCGGATGACGCGCAGCACGGCCAGCGACATGGCGGGCTGGCCGATGCCGCGCTGCCGCGCCAGCTCCGTGCCCAGCGCGATGAAGTAGGGCGCGATGGCCGCCAGGTCGATGAGGTTCATGGCGCTGCGGAAGAAGGCCGCCTTGCTGGGGCTGGCCACCAGGCGCACCAGCAGCTCCAGCGAGAACCAGCAGATGCAGATGGTTTCCACCAGGAAGAAGGGGTCGGTCAGGCCCGAGCGGTGGGGAGGGGGCGTGGGGGTGGTGTAATGAGAGAGAGCAGAGAGGCGGGGGGTGAGGGCAAGGGGGAGGGAACTCCCAAATCCGGAGCGCAGAAACGCAAAGGGAGCAGCCAGGGGTTAATGGGGGTTGGAGACCACCCAGACCCCCAGATCCATCATCTAAAGGGATTAATGGGGGTTGGAGACCACCCAGACCCCCAGACCCACCAGCCAGAGGGGTTAATGGGGGTTGGAGACCACCCAGACCCCCAGACCCACCAGCCAGACGCCCAGATCCATCATCTAAGGGGGTTAATGGGGGTTGGAGACCCCCCAGACCCCCAGATGCACCACCCAGACCCCCAGACCCACCAGCCAGAGGGGTTAATGGGGGTTGGAGACCACCCAGACCCCCAGATCCATCATCTAAGGGGGTTAATGGGGGTTGGAGACCACCCAGACCCCCAGACCCACCAGCCAGAGGGGTTAACGGGGGTTGGAGACCACCCAGACCCCCAGATCCATCACACAGACCACCAGACCCACCAGCCAGACCCCCAGATCCATCACCTAGAGGGGTTAAAAGGGGCTGGAGACCACCCAGACCCCCAGACCCACCACCCAGGGGGGTTAAAAGGGGTTGGAGACCACTCAGACCTCCAGATCCACCACCCAGAGGGGTTAACGGGGGTTGGAGACCCCCAAATATGGGTTAACAGGGGTTGGAGACCACCCAGACCCCCAAACTGATGCCCCACCATGGGTCAATGGGGTTGGAGACCCCCAACATGGGTTAATGGGGTTGGAGACCACCCAGACCCCCAAATCCATCACCCAGACCCCCTGACCCACCACCCAGGGGTGTTAACGGGGGTTGGAGACCCCCAAATATGGGGTAACAGGGGGTGGAGACCACCCAGACCCCCAGACCCACCAGCCAGAGGGGTTAACGGGGGTTGGAGACCCCCAAATATGGGGTAACAGGGGGTGGAGACCACCCAGACCCCCAGACCCACCAGCCAGAGGGGTTAACGGGGGTTGGAGACCCCCAAATATGGGGTAACAGGGGGTGGAGACCACCCAGACCCCCAGACCCACCAGCCAGAGGGGTTAACGGGGGTTGGAGACCCCCAAATATGGGGTAACAGGGGGTGGAGACCACCCAGACCCCCAGACCCACCAGCCAGAGGGGTTAACGGGGGTTGGAGACCCCCAAATATGGGGTAACAGGGGGTGGAGACCACCCAGACCCCCAGACCCACCAGCCAGAGGGGTTAACGGGGGTTGGAGACCCCCAAATATGGGGTAACAGGGGGTGGAGACCACCCAGACCCCCAGACCCACCAGCCAGAGGGGTTAACGGGGGTTGGAGACCCCCAAATATGGGGTAACAGGGGGTGGAGACCACCCAGACCCCCAGACCCACCAGCCAGAGGGGTTAACGGGGGTTGGAGACCCCCAAATATGGGGTAACAGGGGGTGGAGACCACCCAGACCCCCAGACCCACCAGCCAGAGGGGTTAACGGGGGTTGGAGACCCCCAAATATGGGGTAACAGGGGGTGGAGACCACCCAGACCCCCAGACCCACCAGCCAGAGGGGTTAACGGGGGTTGGAGACCCCCAAATATGGGGTAACAGGGGGTGGAGACCACCCAGACCCCCAGACCCACCAGCCAGAGGGGTTAACGGGGGTTGGAGACCCCCAAATATGGGGTAACAGGGGGTGGAGACCACCCAGACCCCCAGACCCACCAGCCAGAGGGGTTAACGGGGGTTGGAGACCCCCAAATATGGGGTAACAGGGGGTGGAGACCACCCAGACCCCCAGACCCACCAGCCAGAGGGGTTAACGGGGGTTGGAGACCCCCAAATATGGGGTAACAGGGGGTGGAGACCACCCAGACCCCCAGACCCACCAGCCAGAGGGGTTAACGGGGGTTGGAGACCCCCAAATATGGGGTAACAGGGGGTGGAGACCACCCAGACCCCCAGACCCACCAGCCAGAGGGGTTAACGGGGGTTGGAGACCCCCAAATATGGGGTAACAGGGGGTGGAGACCACCCAGACCCCCAGACCCACCAGCCAGAGGGGTTAACGGGGGTTGGAGACCCCCAAATATGGGGTAACAGGGGGTGGAGACCACCCAGACCCCCAGACCCACCAGCCAGAGGGGTTAACGGGGGTTGGAGACCCCCAAATATGGGGTAACAGGGGGTGGAGACCACCCAGACCCCCAGACCCACCAGCCAGAGGGGTTAACGGGGGTTGGAGACCCCCAAATATGGGGTAACAGGGGGTGGAGACCACCCAGACCCCCAGACCCACCAGCCAGAGGGGTTAACGGGGGTTGGAGACCCCCAAATATGGGGTAACAGGGGGTGGAGACCACCCAGACCCCCAGACCCACCAGCCAGAGGGGTTAACGGGGGTTGGAGACCCCCAAATATGGGGTAACAGGGGGTGGAGACCACCCAGACCCCCAGACCCACCAGCCAGAGGGGTTAACGGGGGTTGGAGACCCCCAAATATGGGTTAACAGGGGTTGGAGACCACCCAGACCCCCAGGCCCCATGGTAAGGGCCCAGGAGGAGGAGGAGGAGGAAGAAGAAAATGGCTGAGGATGGCGAGGATGGCGAGGGTGAAGATGAGAAAGAGTAGGATGCTGAGGATGATGAGGATGAAGATGAGAAGAATGAGGGTGGTGGGGATGAAGATCAGAAGGATGAGGGTGGTGGGGATGAAGATCAGAAGGATGAGGATGGTGGGGATGAAGATGAGAATGATGAAGGTGGTGGGGATGGTGAGGATGAAGATGAGGAGAACGAGGGTGGTGAGAATGGTGGGGATGAAGATCAGAAGGATGACGGTGGTGAGGATGAGGATGAAGAGGCTGAGGAGGAAGATAAGGATGAGGAAGATGAAGCTGAGGATCATAAGGATGAAGATGAGGATCATGAGAATGAGGATGATGAGGAAAGTGAGGATGAGGAGGGTGAGGAGGAGGAGGATGAGCACAGGGACGGTGACCAGGAGAACGCGGCGTGGTGAGGATGAGGATGGTGAGGCTGAGATTCAGGAGGATGAAGATGAGGATGGGGAGGACAGGGAAAAGGTGAGGAAGAGAACACTGGGATGGGAGAGGATGAAGAGGGTGAGGCTGAGGATGGTGAGGATGACGATGGTGAGGCCAAAGATGATGATGAAGATGACAATGAGGATGGCCGTGATGACGACACTGAAGATGAAGATGAGAACGGTGACAATTCCACTGAAGATCATGAGGATGATGAAGATGAGGATGGTCACAATAAGGACATGGCGAATAAGCAAGATGAGGATGAGGATGGTGACAATGACACTGAGGATGATGAGGATGATGAGGATGATGAGGATGACAACAGTGACACCTGGGATGATGAAGATGAGGATGGCCATGATGAGGACACTGAAGATGAAGATGAGGATGGTGACAATGACACTGAGGATGATGGGGATGATGATGATGAGGATGATAACGACACCGAGAACGATGAGGATGATGAGGATGATGAAGATGATGACAACGACACCAAGTACAATGAGGCTGAGGATGGTGACAACGACACTGAAGATGAGGATGGCCATGATGAGAACACTGAAAGTAAGGGAGATGAGGATGACGATGGTGACAATGACACTGAGGATGATGAGGATGATGACAATGACACCCGGGATGATGAAGATGAGGATGGCCACCATGAGGACACTGAAGATGAAGACGAGGATGGTGACAATGATACTGAGTATGATGGGGATGATGAGGATGATGAGGATGATAACAATGACACCCGGGATGATGAAGGTGACGATGGCCACAATTAGGACATTGAAGATGAAGACGAGGATGGTGACAATGACACTGAGTATGATGAGGATGATGAAGATGATGAAGACGGCAGCAATGACACCCGGGATGATGAAGATGGGGATGGACACGATGAGAACAGTGAAGATGAAGACGAGGATGGTGACAATGACACTGAGGATGATGGGGATGATGAAGATAAAGACACAGAATAAGCAAGATGAGAATGAGGATGGTGACAGTGACACTGAGGACGATGAGGATGATGAGGATGAGGATGGTGACAACAACACAAAGTGACAAGAGGATGGTGAGGATGGTGAGGATGGTGACAATGACACCGAAGACGATGACAATGATGGAAATGATGACCATGACACCAAAGATCATGAGAATGATGAGGATGGTGAGGTTGATGAGGATGGTGACAACACCGAAGATCATGAGGATAATGAGGATGGTGACAATGACACTGAAGATGACGAGGATGATGAGGATGCGGATGGTGACAGCAACACCAAAGATTGTGAGGAAGTTGAGTAGGGTGACAATGACACCAGAGATGATGAGGATGGTGAGTAGGGTGACAATGACACAGAGGATGGTGAGGATGATGAGGATGGTGACAATGACACTGAGGATGATGAGAATGAGGATGGTGACAATGACACTGAAGATCATGAGGATGGTGAGTAGGGTGACAATGACACAGAGGGCGATGAGGACGATGAGGATGGTGACAATGACACTAAAGATCATGAATATGATGAGTAGGGTGACATTGACACAGAGGATGGTGAGGATGATGAGGATGGTGACAATGACACTGAGGATGATGAGAATGAGGATGGTGACAATGACACTGAAGATGACGAGGGTGATGAGGACGATGAGGATGGTGACAATGACACTAAAGATCATGAAGATGATGAGTAGGCTGACAACGACACCAGAGATGATGAGGATGATGAGTAGGGTGACAACGACGAGGATGATGAGGACGACGAGGATGGTGACAATGACACTAAAAATCATGAAGATGATGAGTAGGGTGACAACACCAGAGATGATGAGGATGATGAGTAGGGTGACAATGACACAGAGGATGATGAGGACGATGAGGATGGTGTCAATGACACCAAAAATCATGAAGATGATGAGTAGGGTGACAACGACACCAGAGATGATGAAGATGATGAGGATGATGAGGATGATGAGGATGATGAGGATGATGAGGATGATGAGGATGATGAGTAGGGTGACAATGACACAGAGGACGATGAGGATGGTGACAACGACACCGGCGACGATGAGGACGACGAAGAGCGCCCCGCTCACCTCTCCCTCGGCGCCGGAGCGGAACTGCGGCAGCGTCTCGAGGCAGAACACCACGATGGACACCAGGATGACCAGCACGGACAGCAGGGCCACCACCCGCGCGGCCGGCGAGCTCTCGGGGTGCTCGCACAGCAGCCACGCCCGCCGCCTCAGCCCGCCGCGCGGCAACGCCGGCGGCTCCTCCACCGAGAAGCCTTCGGCCTCGCGCAGCCGCTCCTCCGCCTCGTCGCCCAGCTGGTAGAACCTCAGCTCCTCCAGGAACACGTCCAGGGGGACGTCGGGGGGTCTCCGCAGCCGCCCCCCGCTCTGGTAGTAGTAGAGCACGGCCCCGAAGGCGCCGCGGTGGCGGTCGAAGAAGTACTCGCGGCGCTGGGGGTCGAAGAAGCGGCGGCGGCGCCGGGGGTCGCCCAGGAGGGTGTCGGGGAAGCGCCGCAGCGTCCGCACCAGGGTCTCGAAGCGCCGGCCCGCCACGTTGATGGCCACGCGCTCGCAGCAGCCCAGCGGCTCCCCCATGCCCGCGTGGGCACCCCCGGGACGGGGCACGGGCGGGGCCGAGGGCACCGAGGGCAGCCTGGGCGAGGAGGGGGCGCCCCGCGGCTCGGGCAATGGGATCCTAAAGATTTGGGGAACCCCTGAAGTATTTGGGGTCTGCAATGTTGGAGGACCCCAAACTTTTGGGGGTCCAACCGTGGTTCTACAACGTTGGAGGAGCCTCGAGGTTCTTCAGAGTTGGGGGCAGACCGAGAGGTTTTGGGGTTTTTAAGACTTTTGGGGGGTCCAACCGTGGTTCTACAACGTTGGAGGAGCCTCGAGGTTCTTCAGAGTTGGGGCAGACCGAGAGGTTTTGGGGTTTTTAAGACTTTTGGGGGGTCCCTACAAGTTGAGGGGACCCCTAAATTCTTGGGGATCCCAATGGGATCCTAAAGGGATCCCCTGAAGTATTTGGGGTCTACAATGTTGGAGGACCCCAAACTTTTAGGGGTCCAACCGTGGTTCTACAACGTTGGAGGAGCCTCGATGTTCTTCAGAGTTGGGGCAGACCGAGAGGTTTTGGGGTTTTTAAGACCTTTTGAACTCTTGGAGGGTCCAAGAAGACCCTACAAGTTGAGGGGACCCCTAAATTCTTGGGGATCCCAATGGGATCCTAAAGGGATCCCCTGAAGTATTTGGGGTCTACAATGTTGGAGGACCCCAAACTTTTGGGGGTCCAACCGTGGTTCTACAACGTTGGAGGAGCCTCGAGGTTCTTCAGAGTTGGGGCAGACCGAGAGGTTTTGGGGTTTTTAAGACTTTTGGGGGGGTCCCTACAAGTTGAGGGGACCCCAAAATTCTTGGGGGTCCCAATGGGATCCTAAAGATTTGGGGAACCCCTGAAGTATTTGGGGTCTGCAATGTTGGAGGACCCCAAGGTCCAAGAAGACCCTACAAGTTGAGGGGACCCCTAAATTCTTGGGGGTCCCAATGGGATCCTAAAGGTTTGGGGAACCCTAAAATTTTGTGGGGCCCCTAAAATATTGGGGGTCTACAACGTTGGAGAAGCCTCGAGGTTCTTCAGAGTTGGGGCAGACCGAGAGGTTTTGGGGTTTTTAAGACTTTTGGGGGGTCCCTACAAGTTGAGGGGACCCCAAAACTCTTGAGGGTCCCAATGGGACCCTAAAGATTTGGGGAACCCCTGAAGTATTTGGGGTCTGCAATGTTGGAGGACCCCAAACTTTTGGGGGTCCAACCGTGGTTCTACAACGTTGGAGGAGCCTCGAGGTTCTTCAGAGTTGGGGGCAGACCGAGAGGTTTTGGGGTTTTTAAGACTTTTGGGGGGTCCCTACAAGTTGAGGGGACCCCAAAACTCTTGAGGGTCCCAATGGGACCCTAAAGATTTGGGGGACCCCTGAAGTATTTGGGGTCTACAACGTTGGAGGACCCCAAACTTTTGGGGATCCAACCGTGGTTCTACAACGTTGGAGGAACCTCGAGGTTCTTCAGCGTTGGGGACACCCCAAAAATTTTGGGGGTCCCGAGGTGACCCTAAAGATTTGGGGATTGACGGTACTGGAGAACCCTCAGGATCTCGGGGGTCCTACAGATTTGGGGGACCCCTACATTTGTGGGGGGTCCCAGGGTGGCCCCGAAGCCTTGGGGAACCCTTGGGGTGACCCCAAAGATTTGGGGCACCCCACAGATGTCGGGGGTCAGCAGAGCTGGGTGGTCCTCGGGGGTCTCACGGGGGGGACCCCAAAGATTTGGGGGACCCCTCAACTCCTGGGGTCCCCCCAAACCTGTCGCTGAGTGTCCCCTGTCCCCAGCTGTCCCCAGCCCCCCTGCCCGGGTGTCCCCCGCTGTGTCCCGGGGTGTCCCCACCCCTCCCGACCCCTGTCACCCGCGGGTCCCCTCTGTCCCCGCGGTGCCACCAGGGGGTCCCCAGCCCCTGTCAGTCACCGGCTGTCCCCAAACCCCGCCCCTGCTGTCCCCACGGCGTGACCCCAGCCCCTGTCGCCAGCTGTCCCCTGCCACCCGGGGGTGGGGGTGTCCCCACACCCTGTCCCTGCTGTCCCCAACCCTCCTGACCCCTGTCCCGGGGGTGTCCCCAACCCCCCTCCCCGTCCCCGCGTGCCCCCTCCCACGTCACCCGGGTGTCCCTNNNNGTTGCCGGGTGTCCCGAAAGTGGTGGGGGTCAGTGGGACACCCGGGTCTTCCCCCCCCCCCCCCCGGTGTCACCGAGTGTCCCCAAGGAAAGGGGGGGGACACCTCCGTGGGGGGAGGGGAATGCGTGTCACCCCTCCCCCATGGACACGGGGACACCCCAGTGACTGGGGGGGGGGCGGGGGGGGGGGGGGGGTGGGGGGTGTGTTCCCCCCCCCCCGTGGTTGCCATGGCAACGGGACGATTGGTGACACCCTGGCTGTCGCGGCGGGGGGGGGAAATGTCACCTCGGTTGTCATGGTAACGGCACGAGGTGACCCGACCCCCCCCCCAATTGCTGGGCGTAACCCTGGTTACCATGGCAACGGCTCGCCGTGCTCCCCGTTGCTATGAGGGGGGCGCGCACACACAGAGGATGGCCCGGTTGCCATGGAAACCGCGGTTGCTACGAAGAGGCCCCGCCCCCGTTGCTATGGGGCGCGGCGGAGGGGCGTGGCCACCCTGTTGCCACGGCTAAACCACGCCCCTAACACCGGCTCAGCAGGCCACGCCCCATCCCCGTTATCCCCGCCTCAAGCTCAAGCCACGCCCCTTTTGTCGCCCCGCCCCCCCTCAGCCGTTACCGGCCCCTCCCCGCCGTTCCGCCGCCGCCACTTCCGGTTTCTCCTTCACTTCCGCTGGCGCCGCGGCGGCCGCGCATGCGCGGGGGGAGGCGCGCGCGGAGCGGCCGGGCCGGAGGGAGCGCGGGGTC